ATTTAAAAGTCTAGAAGGAAATACACAGTTTATGTATGATTAGTGAGATTACACATCATTTTTATTTTCTTTATACTTTTTGTATTCCATAGCTGTTTACAATGAAATATTTTTATAATTAGAAAAATGAACACTTTTTAAAGAAAAACACTAAAAATGTTTAAATAATCTAATACAAAATGTAATACTACATGAAACTGTGCTTCTTTTGGATTTTCGTCTTTGCTTTTCACACTTCCAGCCTGGCTGGGAGCTTGGGAATGAGGACTAGACAGTCTGTGAAGTTATGCCAGAATTAAAATATCAATGATCTCAGGATAAGGAATGAAATGGAGCAGAGCCTGTGAGCCCTCAGAGTCAGATGCCTGTGCCGGATGCTCAGTACAGCTCCTTCTCTCCAGCTGCTGATTTTTTTTTTTTTTAACAAGATAAACCTAGAAGATCATGGATTTTGTTTTATTTTAAAAGGAGCTATTTCCAAGTCGACCTAACTAACACAAATGCTACACCCAAGCAACTCAAGGATGCAGAAGTGGAAGAGGAGGTGTGAATAGAAAAGCCAGCTCTATAAAGGACCCAAGGCTCATATTTACACACTCTGCTTACAAGAAATCTTTGTGACCAAGGCAAATGATAGGATAGCCCCTGATTTCTTCCTTTGCCTTCTAATTTAAGACACCCTTGTAACATCTTTTCAAGGGTGACCCTTCTGTAATCTGATTTCCATCTATATAAAAACGATAGCCCCTGATTTCTTCCTTTGCCTTCTAATTTAAGACACCCTTGTAACATCTTTTCAAGGCTGACCCTTCTGTAATCTGATTTCCATCTATATAAAAACGTCCAGCCAAACAAGGGGATAGCAGAAAACACACCTTGCTACAAGTGCAACCACACGTGGCCATGGCCTGGATATGATGAACTTCTGCACAGAGTACTGCTGATAAAATGCAACTGTAGTTGTGGGCACAAAACATTGAAGAAGGGGTCTGGAGCATCTGCTGCTTTGTCAAAACAAAGTATTTACAACCAAAAGCAGACATAAAAAGCATTAGGCTGAGAAATTATGGCACCATCTAAGGAACAAGAATGCTCCTCTTCATTAGTTGCCTTGGTCTTCATTCATTCATTCATTCATTCAGCCCATCAGCAAACGCTAATTGAACTTTGTGCTTGACACTGTTTCAGACCCTGGCAAATCAGCCATGAACAAAATTTATAGAAATCTCTGGCCTTATTCTAATGCTCATTCCCTTATCAAACACGTTCTGAAAATCTACTCTGTTCAAGTAATGAACAGGGTATTGTTTAGGATTAAAGAGACAGATATCCTAACCTGGAATCAAATATAGTTAACTACTTTAAGCCCTTGGAAATCCCTCATGGTCCCCTACAGAATGACTTCAAATGTCTCCACAGTGTATGAGTATTAACAAAAGAGTCCAGACTTGGGGGTTTTGTTTGTTTGTTTGTTTGTTTTTGGAGGCTGGTACAGGGATGGAACCCTGGGCCATGGTGTTATTGGCACCATACTCTAACTGAGCAAACAGGCCAGCCACAAAAAAGTACAAAAGCACAGACAACAAAAGAAAAAATAAATAAATGAGATTATATCAAACTAAAAAGCTTCTGCACAAGAAAAGAAACAATTAACAGAGTGAAAAGACAACCTACCGAATGAGAGAAAATATTTGCAAACTGTGTGTTCAATACGGGATTAATATCCAGAAATGCTGGGTTCCACCAGCAGGTTTTTCCTCCCTTTCCTAACCTCTTCCACACCAAACCCAAGAGTGACCTGCCCTAATACTTCACCCCTCGGCCCTAGAGACGGCCAGGGGATCTCCCTGGGGGGAGTGAGTGATCTGCCCACCAACCCAGCCCCATAGAAAGGACATTCAGACACGGCAGGGGTTCCATCAAGCAGTTCCGTTTATTGTTTGTTAAGCAAGCATATTTAAGCTTTGCCAGTGGGGGAGTGCCCTCTGCCCAGCCAATCAGGGTAAAGATCACGTGGTCATGCATGTGGGTTCCTTAAGCTATACTAAGCAATCATGCCTTGATCACAAGCAGGGAAAACCAGGGCTGCCAATGGAATTAAACAAAAACAAAATGTGGAACCCAGCTGTCCCCTCCCACCTTGCTTCCTCTCCGTGCCATCTTTAGGTGGCCGCATGGAGAGGGCCTTGCCTAAATCACCATTTTGGCATTACTGAATCGCATATGAGCTCAACACAGAAATGTCTTTAATCTGTAAATTTGTGTCTTTCACCAAATTTGAGGAAACTTGAACATTATTTCTTCACAAATTTTTTCTGCCTTATTTGCTCTTTGTCTTCTCCTTCTGAAATTCCAATTACACATAGGCTAGACCTTTGCTATTACTCCACATGCCCCTGGAGCTCTGTTAATTGTTTCATTCTTTTTTCTCTCTCTTCTTTAAGTTGGACACTTTCTACTCATCTATCTTCAAATTCAATGATTCTCCTTTCTATCATTTCCATTTCACCATTAGGCCCAGCCAATATATATTTTTTTAATTTCAAATATTGAATTTTTTTAGTTCTCAAATTTCCATTTGGCTTTTTCTCATATTTTTTTATTTTTCTCCTAAGATTTCCTACCTTTTCATTTATTATAAGTGTCGTTTCCTTTTCCTCATTGATTGTAGTAATAATAACTGCATTAAAATTCTTATTTGGTAATTCTAATACCTGGGCTGGGTGTTTGATTATTATCATTCTTCATGAGAAAGGGTCACATTTTCGTGATCCTTCATACTTTGAGTAATTTTGGAATTATACCCTAGAATTGTAAATGTTATATTGTGAAGATTCTGGTTTCTTGGTTATACCTCCAAAGAGAACTGATGTTTTAGTTTTAGGCAGTCAACTTGGTAAGACTAAGTCTGAAATCTCTGTCATGCCTGCAATGGGTAGCAGCTCAGTTTATACTGTTTTTGAACTGCCCATATGAGGGTACCTAAAAAAGTTCATGAAAAAATTTATTATATCTTCTAATTCCATTTTTCCACAAACTTTTTGAAGTATCCTCATATGGTTTACAGGTTAGCCAGAGACTTATACAATGTTTACAAATCGAATTTGGCATTCCCTTGTTTGCTGGTCATCTCTGGAGTTCACTCTCACTCTCCAGTGGCCCTGGTTGTGGCTCTTTCCCCTGGTTGATCCAGCAAGAAAGACAGATGGCTTCCTATCAGAGTTCTAGTCACCCTAAATTACCACTACTCTAATTGAGACTACCCTCTGGGCAAATACAAGTCAGAAAAATCACCCTATGCTGATTGCTTTCTCCAAATTTTAACTGCTCTCCAAAAACCTGCTTTTTTTCACTCTCCAGAGCCCTCAAATGAGTTAGAGAGAGTGCAAGAGAAAGGAAGAGAGAGGAGAGTGTTATCCACAGTTGATGGTTATATGCTAGAGGTTAAAGGAACTTATTTCTTCATACTGGAGGCTTATCTATGAGATCATAGAGTTTAGAATATGTGTCTCCTAACAAGGACTAACAGATGCAAGATGTCAGAAAAACTGCACTGTTTCAGAAAATCAAAATTGCCATTTGCAGAAAAATTAAATCGTTTTTTCCCTAGGAAGAATTAACCTGTGGGCCTCTCAGATGGTCTGCTGTGAGGATTTTTAGGAAGATGTCAGAAAAACTGCACTGTTTCAGAAAATCAAAATTGCCATTTGCAGAAAAATTAAATTGTTTTTTCCCTAGGAAGAATTAACCTGTGGGCCTCTCAGATGGTCTGCTGTGAGGATTTTTAGGATATTAAAAAAGTCAACATTGTACTAAGGATACAAGCCAAAGTAATACGCTAAGAAAAACAAATAGCATACATATTAAAAAGTAAGAACAAAATTCATTATTTGCATATAATTCTATTATCTAGATAGTCAAAGAGGGTAAGCTACAAAAAAGCTATTTAAGGTCTCCCCTCACATAACAGTGACATTTTCCCCCATAAAGAAATAAGGTAAATAATTTCTAAAGGAATTAAGTAATCTGTCTAAAAGATGCTAGCTGTCACAGAATGTCAGTTGGACCCCTTCATTATTTGGGGCAATGTCCCAAATTCCTGCCTCTTCTCATTCTTACACCTTAAATGGAAGTATGATACATTACCTGTTCACATACAGAGAGCTTTCAGTTGCTCTGAATTAATCAACTTAGTCCTTCATTCATAAAAATGAATAGCAGACCAAGGATTACTATATACTTGAGGAATATTATCAACAAAAAGAAAAACCAAGATGAACAAACAGAACAATTGACCCTGGAACAAATAGAGAATCCAGGAAATATTAAACATTAAAAGAGTGCCAATTTCCCTCTGAAAATTGAAGAAGAAACTCGTATTCATAAAACAAAAACAGGACACTACAAATAATTAGACAGAAAAAAAAGTTTATGATAACTAAAATAAATGATTCAAGTTAAAAGTTGAATAAAAAGATTAAAAGGAAGAGTCAAAGAAGTTTCTCAAATACAGAACAAATATGCAAGAGATAGGTAATACAAAAGAAAAAAACTGGAGATATATGGGGTCAATCCAGGAGAGACAACATCGATATGCACTCTAAAAAGGGGGAAACAGAAAATAAAAGAGGAAATAATCTAAGAAATACCAGAAGAAAAGTTCCCAGCATTGAAGAGAGCGGCGGGTCTTCAAATTGAAAGGCTTATGGAATATCAAGTAGAACAAAGGAAAAGAAATGTACTTAGGCACATCATCATGAAATTTGAGATTGGAAAGTATAAAGAGAAGATCTTAACTTTCTAAAATGAAATAAGATACCTCTAAAGGAATGCAGATAAGATTTATGTCTCACTAACAATACTGGACAATAGAAGACACAGGCAATGCCTTCAAAATTCTAACTGAAAATGATTT